GGGACTGAGCCTGTGTCTAAGTCAAGACAGGTGGGACTGCCAGCTGAGGGACGAGTGAGCGTTTGTACAGAACTGTCCACCATAACCGCAGGTGAAACTAGAGGTGAACTGCAGGCATGTGACGCTCACACCAGAGATGACTCTATAGCACATACAGCTGGATGTGGAAGAGCTCAATACTATATCTGAATGTGACATTCCTGCTTAAAAACTTCCAGGGGCTTCTCTGATGACTGAGCAGGGTAGAGGAATGGGTTTCAGATTCTTCAAGCCCTGAAACTTTGTGTGTATGTGCATTTTTTTAGATGAGAAGATCCATAATTTTCATCACATTTTTAAAAGGGTACATGTTAAGTGTTTAAGAACCACAAACACAAAACCCTAATCCTTAACATGACAGGTGAGGTCCTACACAATCCAGACTAACCAACCTCTCTTGAGCCGCATCTCCTGCCAGTCGGCTCTCCCCCATCTCCCCCTACTTAGTGAACATTAAATTCCAGCCACAGAACTTCTCATTCCATCTCAAACACGCCATAAGCTCTTTAATCTCTCTCTGATTGAACGCACACCCTTCTCTCTGCCAGGAATGTTGCTCTTCCTTTGCCACTTCCTCTGCTCCTTCTCTGCCTGCTGAATTTCCTTTTATCCTTTAAGACTCAGCAATAACATCACCTCTGTGGCCCCCTCCCTCCTTCCCAGCGTTCTCCTCAACCATTCCATGAGCAATCCATACACCAAGTCTGTGGAGTCTTCCCTTTGGTATTGCATTGTTTGTTCATGTGCTGCTCTCTTCCACTTGTCTGTGAGTCCTTGAAAGCACAGACCATGCCCCTCAACACTCCAAACCATAACCTAGAGCATAACAGACAATAATAATATTGATGCAACCAGTGAGGAATGAATGACTCCATTTATTAGCTTGGCCAGTTGTCTCTTGGATCTTACAGAGAGCCTGACCCCGAAAGGCTGGGATATTCATAACTAGGTTTCCTGTTCAGGTTGTTAGAATCTGTCCTGGTTTAAACGTACATTTCTGATTCCCATACATCTTTTAAGAACCACTATGAAAAAAAGAGTAATCAAAGAACAAGAAAGGATACTTGAAATAAAAAATGTAAATGATGACCTAAAAAATTTAATAGGAGGTTTGGAAGATAGAGTTGGAAAAATTTCCCAGAAAGTAGAGAAGCAACCCCCCAAGGCTGGTGTGCATGCCCTCCTGGTAGCATCTAGGACATCCTTCTCACCAGTGCATTTATTTGTCACCCTGCATTATAGTAGCCATTTTACTGATCCCTGACTCCCTATAAATAGGCTGGGCTTCCTCGGAGCAGGGACTGTGTGTCTTTCTCCCCATCTCCTATCCTGTGCACTACTGTTCATATGTATTGGAGGAATGAATGACGAATGCATGAAGGAGTGAAGGCAAACTTCAATTGGGCTGGGGGTTGAGAGGAAGCTTTGCTGAGGTTTGAGGAAAAGGTGAGTGAGGGTAAATCCCTGGGGAACACTAGGGAAGGGCCAGGCTTGGGGGAGCAGACAGGTTTTCAGCTACTGCAATCATGGAAACAGGGAAAGGGTGACTGGGCAAATGCGAGGGGTTGAATCACCAAGAAAAATTTGAGAGAAGGAAGGGGAGGAGGAAGGTCACTCATCAGTGCATCTTTCCTGAGGAATGCATTCATTCTAGGCACTGTGTTAAGGACTTTCCCTGCATTTTCTCTCTTAAGCTTCACAAAACCCCATAAAGTTGTAATTACTACTACACCCATTTTCCAGGTGAGGATAGGTGTACAGATAACAGTATCTGACCTCAGATTCTAGAGCTGGTGGTTATGGAATCAGGATTTGAGGGAAAAGCCTGGTCACATCTGTGTTGTTTTAATCACCAGGCTACTCTCTCTGGCAAAGGAGCCCAAGCCGAGCCTCATCTTTTGTTCTACTTTGCCTAGGTCGGCAGTCCTGGGTACCCAGAGCACTCTGTGCAGATCACAACTCATAGGCTCCTAGCTGAGGATTGCACAGCTCCCTCTCCCAGATGACCAGTCTCCTTTTCCCAGAAAAAGCTGTGTGGGAGAGAGTAAATAGCTGGGTTTGGGGAATAATGGTTTTCTTCTGTTTTGTGTTACTGGATCTGATGCACAGAAAACTGCCCAGAACCTCAAATAATTACAGTAAGACGACTCCGTTTCCTTCACATGGCCACACCAGACAGGCGGGAGCCCAGACACACTGCAAAGCGAGTGCTGTGACTGTGAGATGGGAAAAGGCAGGAACCTAGAATCAGGGATTCCTGACCACCGCAACCACAAGCACAGCGTGGCACTCAGAAGGAACCCGGAAAGGGGCCCCACTTGGAAGGCCAATGACTTGTTTCATTTTAAAGTCGCTTAATAAAAAGCCCATCTAGACATATGATTAGGTAGGGGAAAAGGCAGGTTTTAAGATGATTCACGTAGTACAGTACCATCTGTGTTAGGACAAAAAGCCCAGCAAACCGTGCAGACTGACAGACCATCCACTTCCCGCTGCCAGTGATCGTCCTGAGGAGCAAGTGGTATGAGGGAGGGAGGGGGACCTGAGCTTTACCTATACTTTGAAAATATTACTCACATGGCAATCATGTATTATTGGATGATGAAAAATGGTAAAATAAATCTTAGAAAGAAAACAATGTCAAACTTGAACCTGGTCATTTATTTGTCAGTCAACATTATTAGCACCTCAGTGACAGGTCTTCATGACCATGCCCCATTTGCCCCCTCAGTTTTAAACTGCATAAAAGATAATATACTTTCCACCCTAAGGAACCAAAAATTTATAGTTTCATAGTTTGTTTTGAGTCAGAAGAGATGGAAGAAGCCATCTGACCCTGCACATTCATGATGAAGACAGGATAGTCACCCCTGCTTCCATTCTCCCACTGTCCCCCACAGCAGTGTGATGGCCAGGGTTAGGTGTCAACTTGGTTGGGTTAAGGAATACCTAGAAACCTGGTAAAGCACTGTTTTGGCTGTGTCTGTGAGGGTGTTTCCAGAGGAGATTAGCATTTGGGCCTCAGTGAAGTAGGGGAAGATCCTCCCTCAGTGTGGGTGGGCACCATTCAATCTACTGGGGGCTGGATAGAACAAAAACAGAAAAGAATGTGCAGACCTGTCTGCTGGAGCCGCGATACAACCTTCCTCTCCCGTCCTTTGACAACAATTCCAGGCTTGCTGGCCTTTGGACTAGAGAACTTAAGCCAGCCCCTCCCCACCTCAGGTTCTCAAGCCATTGGCCTCTGAGTGAGCATTACACCTTTGGCTTCCTTGGTTGAGGTTTTAGGACTTGGGCTGAGTCATGCTAGGTCAGCATTGTTGGGCATTGTAGAGTCTCCAGCTTGCATATGGCATGTCGTGGACTTTGCAGCCTCCATAATTGTGTGAGCCAATTCCCCAAATAAATCCCCTTTCATATCTCTCCCTATATTTATCCTATTGGTTCTGTCCCTCTGGAGAACCCTAATACATGCCGCCTCCATGCTTTAGATCATTCATTTCAGACACTCAATCCTAGAGCTATTGGGATAGAAATAATTCATGGACTGAGCCCAGAAGAGCCAGGGTCACCTAGGTATCATCCCAGGGTCAGAGCATCATTAGGACAGAGGTGATGGGAGAGGACTGGGGGCTAGATATTGTTTCTTGGAAAGGGCCTGCAGAGTGCCCAGCTGGCATGGGCATATGTGCATGTGTGTGTGAGGATGTGCATGCGTCTCAGGTATATGTGCTTATATGTATGTACATGTGCATATTTGTATGTGTGACTGTGTATATATGTTTATATGTGTGCTTGTTGTATGTATGGCTGTGCATGTGTATTTTTGAATGTTTGTCCATGGGTATTACTGGCTGTGTGTGAGTTTGTGAGTATGAGTGTATTTGCGTGGAATGGTTAATTCTTTCCCCATGCCAGAAGCCCAAGGAGATGCTACCAAGTGCTTGAAGACTTGATGTCACATTCTTGACTACCCCCACCCTCCTAGAGCTTCCAGGCCTATCACTGTGATGCAAGGGTGTGGCAGAGGATAATCCTTATCCTATCCTGGAGAGAACACACTTTTTCTAGCCTCTGGAAACTAATCCATCTTACTTCTGGCTGCATTATCAATTTTCAGTTAATACACCAATTTCTCTGACCCTCTGAAGCCAACAGCATGGAGCCTGGGTAATAAACTGGAGTGGGCGCAGCGTATCCAGCCTCAGTAGTAGGAAGGACAGAAGTTTGACCAGGGGTCTAGCTCTCTCTGATCTGACTACTTGAATTCCCTTTACAGATGAATAAGGTGATGTTTTGTGACTCTAGTTGCCTTCCCTTTCAACAGGTCTCAAAATGTATAGCTTACATCCTGTTACCACACTTTGCAAGGTCCATATACCATTTCCAATGATAGAAAGAGCCATCTTCCAGATCCAGTAGAAAGTTAATCCTATACAGTCTTGATCTGTTGGGTGCCATTTCTGCAGATGGGGGCATGACACCTCCCTGAAGTGCCTTTTAAGATAAATATTCTCTCTCAGCATTTTCACAAGGGACATTCAAGTAGAACATGTCTTTTGGGGTAAGACATAAGCAACATAATTATAGAGACTCCAAATACTTCAGGTATGGGCATACTAAGAAAGTATGATTTCTTTCCCTTATTTGATGTAGCAAAAGCCGGCCTATGTAAACCCATCCTAAAATTGGAATAAATAATGTAATGCAAATATATGTAAAGAAACCCACAGAGAAGTAAACAGCACAGAAAAAATAATGGCTATGTAACAAATTAGATGGGTGTCCAGGCAGGGGTAGAGATACAGGGAACTTCATGAAGCAATGCTGTGGTTTTGGCTCGTTTCTGTTTTGTTTTACCCCTCGTGTATCTTGAGACCACAGCTCATAAGGGCCATTACACTTCAAGGATATGATCTCAGGACTGGAATATATTCACTTGCCAGTATCAAGAGTAAGCAGTGCTCACTTTGGTAGCACATATACTAAAATTGAAATGAAACAGACATTAGCATGGCCCCTAATCAAAGATGACATGCAAATTCATGAGCGTTCTTAATTTTACACACGCATATATATATACATATATATACATATGTGTGTGTGTATATATATATGTGTGCGCATATATATATATATATATATATATACGCACACATATATATGTAATTGCATGAGCCAATTTTTCTGTTTTTGTTCTGTCTGGTCCCCAGTAGATGGAATGGTGCCCACCCGCACTGAGGGTGGGTCTTCTCCTACTCCACTAAGGCCCACATGCTAATCTCCTCTGGAAACACCCTCGCAGACACAGCCAAATATATATATATATATATATATATATATATATATTAAAGAGTAGGCCGTGTGTGTGTGTGTGTGTGTGTGTGTGTGTGTGTGTGTATATAACTTTTTTTTTTTTAAGAGTAGGCAATAGTTTAGGAGGTTGGGAGTACAGAGATGTGGAGAGGGCCTGGAAGAACATAAAGGTGGAAAGTTGACTCTTTCCCCGGACAAGAAGACAGACAAAAAGGATGAAAAGAATATGGCATACTTCAGAATTTCCAGTTGACATTGTCCTACCCAAGGGTTGCTCCTTTGTGTCTGCTGGAAGAAATACAATGGGCCATAGAACTTTCTCTTCACCTCTTCCCATTCTCTTAAGCTCTTAGCATCTATTTCCCCCAACTTACCTTTAGGATTCATTTTATTTCTGGCCCAATTATATACAATAATTTCCTTAACACATGATTACTTTAATAGTATTTTAGTAATAATTTTCCCTCTTTCTCGTAATTCCTTCAAATAACAATCTTGAAAGCATACTACTATAACTACTTCTAATAATAATCTGGAAAGCACACTTTCCAGTTCAGGTAAGTAGCATTCCAAGTGATTGCTCAATGCCTTACCCCAAAGCGGGTCCTTCAAACCCACTACAAGGCCAGAGCTCACTCTGGAGTGTTCTGTATCTTACACATCTTGGAATCCCTGGTGCTTTTCACACAGTGGGTGCTCAAAACTGTTGAACTATACTGTGAACTGTTGGAAAAATGTTCCTCTCAGATCCGCACCATCACACACATACGGACATTCTGCACCTGGTCAGCAGTCTAGTGGTTGGTCCCTCACTACTGCAGGTAATAATGGAAGTTTCCTGACCAAATGACGAAGCCAGTGCCTCTTCTAAACCGCTCCATTTTCCATTGTGCTTAGGATAGTTGGCACTGTCTCCTCACTGCTCTGATACCGTCTCACCTTCCCCTGCTCCTCACTCCATGCATTTCATCTTAGGGACTGTGTGTGCGCGTGCACGCGCGCGCGTGTGTGTGTGTGTGTACGTCACAAGAAATTACCATGGAAGGCAGCACATCTTATGGCAAATATTCTACATAAAATATGCTGAAATTATTTGTTTAGTGCTTATGTGCCTGTCGCCATGTGAGTTAGTTGCTTTCTATGTATGATTTTATTTAATGCTTGAAGAAGCCCTAAGAGGATGTTATTTTCCTCATTTGAGAACTTGGAAAACCAAGGGTCAGAGATAGTAAGCACTTCAGTCCAGATAAAGTAACTAGTAACTGCCTGACTTGGTTTCTGAACCACAGTGAGCAGTTCAATGTCAAGGCCCTTGCTCCACTGTCTCCCAGGAGAATATTTTTACCTTAGGGAAGAATATCTAATGTATTATAGACACATTATTATAGAAAAATATCTAATGTATTATAATTTTGTTCTATTTTTTCTAACCATCTCTAGTATCAAAGGAAAAAGTTTTTCATTATGTATTTTTCCTTTTTATAAAAATAGTATTTGTTCACAGAAAAACATTTAGAAAATACAGAGAAGCAGAAAGAAGAAAAAAAAAATCACTTGCAATTCACCACTCAGATACAACATACCTGAATGTTGGTATGGCTCTTTGGCAATGTTTTTAATTGAAACATTTTTTATGGGTTCATGTTGTATAAAGAGTTAAAAGTAGAAACATAGCTTTTATGCCATTTGTCTTCGTCCATTCAGGCAGTTATAACAAAGTATGTGGCTTATAAACCACAGAAATGTATTTCTTGTAGTTCTGGGCACTGGGAAGTTCAAGATCAAGGTGCTGGCAGATACAGTGTCTGGTGAGGGCTGGAGTTTTTGTTCATACATGTTAGCTTCTTGTGTCCACATGCGGTGGAAGAGCTAGCTGGCTCTCTGGAGTCTTTTTTTATAAGGGCACTAATCTCATTCATGAGGGCTCAGCCTTCACGACTTAATCACTTCCTAAAAACCCCAACTCCTAATACCTTTGGAGTTAGGATTTCAACACATGAATTTTGGGGCAATGCAAATAGTTGGACCATAGTACCAATAAATGATTCCACAGCAATCACTTGTATAACTATGCCATAATTTAACCAGTACCACATGGTTGGCATGAAGTTTGTTTCTTTTTATGAATGTTAATAATATTGGGATAGACATCTCTGTAACTGTATCTGTACATTCTAATATTTTATGAAAGGCAAGAAATATTGTTTGCTTAATTTATGAGTGTTAAAAACTGTTTGCCCAAAAGTATGAAATTGAAAAAGAAACAAAACAACTTTGCTCTAAATCATTAGTTGACTGACAGAGGCAGGTACTAAATATTTTAGGCTTTGTGGGCCATATGGTTTCTGTCCAAAGTACTCAGCTCTGCCATCATAGCACAAAAGCAGCCATGGACAATCCATAAATGAATCAGCATGGCCATGTTTCAATAAAATTTTATTTATAGACACTGAAATGTGATTCTCATATAATTGTCATGTGTCATAAATCAGTCTTCTTCTTTTGATTTTTTTCTAATTATTTAGAAATGTGAAAACTACCCTTTGTCTGTATGCCATACAAAGCAAGTGACTAGCCCTCTCTTGCTCCAAATCATCCATTCATCCTTAGAGACATAAGTCTACATCTATTTCTAGCCACAAACTTACAGAATTGTGAGAATTCTCTTTCCAACCCTTCCTTCTCCTGGATTTACACACATACACACACACACACACACACACACACACACACACACAAACACATACACTCCTGGTTGCCCCAAAGTCCTTCCCTAGTAAGCTGGTCAGCCTCTCGCAGAGTTCCCTAAGTTCAAAAATTACTTCTATTTTCTTTAATTCTATTTTTTTGAGCATCTGATTATCTGAAGTAATTCACATTAAAGAGTGATTAGTAGGGATCAACTCTCCCTTTGAGAATTTCCATTTAAAGGAAGATGTATCAGTGAGGCTAATGAGATGTTGGGAAAAACATTTTTGAGTGGCTGAATACCTAGCTGTTCATTTAGGAAGTTGATTTTGGTGTTATAAGGCTTGCCAAGAAGGCTAAAGATGACTTGTCTACCGGTGCTTATAATCTAATCAGGAAGGTAGAACAATTGTGGTACAAGAAAAAATAAAAATTCAAATCAGAGGCTATTAACTGCCAAGAAAATGATAAAAAAATAAAATTAATGACTAAGTTATGATAAGGACAAAGACAATTCCTCAATGTTACCAAGCCTAGGCATTCAAGGACATTTATCTGGATGTTGGTAGACACAGGATCTTGCCCTCTGCCTCTTAGGGATAATGGCTTCACAATATCCTCAGGGTCTTAAGCCCTATAGCCAGTCAGAGTCACTATTTCATGGTTTCACTTGCACATAAATAAAAGAAAAATAGATTTTAAAATTAAACAACTTGAGCTTAGGGGCAGTTCTTAAGCCATTTACTAAATTTCTAGAGATTTGTAAAGCTCCAAACAAAATGCATTCATGAGTCCTTTAGCAAATGATTCAACCTGAAGTTTCACCACTAACTCCAGGGTAACCCTTGGACAGACAAATTGGGCAATGAAGGGTTGATATGAAATCATTTCCTGCAAAGGGATCCTCTTACCAGGTAGGCAAAGAAAGGTAAGTTACCCAGACGGAAGTTGCAAGAGCCACTTTTTCCTGAAAAATCACATCCTAACCCCCTGAGGCAGTAAAACCCTTCTCTGAGGTCTCATAGAAAGGTGGCCTTAGGAAGTTAAAACAAGCTTTGAATTAGGGCTGCCAGCCAGCAGGTTTTCTCTTGCAGCAGTGTTTGCTTGCCATCCATCCAACCCTGATCAGAGGCTTCAAAAGCTGGAGCTCAGCTCTATCCAGAGCACAGGGGATGCTGGGAGACAGGTCTGCCCAGGAAATGCCAGGAAACCCCAGAGCTAGGAGAGGTAGCTTAAAGGTCAACATCTGGGCATCTGGGTGCTTCTCAAAGCAAGTGGTAAAAAATACACCTTACCTCTATGCTCTAAAAATTGCCACCCATATATCTTTGTCTTTAACCATTCAATTTTCATTTCAAAGCCAAGTGCTAATAGGATATTAAAATAATATGCATATTACTAACCCAGGCTATTGGCAACTGCTGCTCAGTGCAAGCCCTTGACATTGCCTCCCTGTATCTAACCATGGTTCCGCTTAGTCTGGCTTTCTGCCTTTGGCAATGGCCGGGGTTTGATGGTTCACAGAAAGGCAAATTGCCTAGCTAATTAAAATCTGTACCTTTAAAAACACTTTTCTCTTATATTGCCAGGCAAAGTTAAATGGGTACAACTTTCTTATGAAAAGGCCAAAAATAAATTCTGGGCTTAGACATCGTAGATAAAATTGCTGCCTTAAATTCCAAGTTTCAGAAAAATAAAGGCGTTATCATGAAAATTGTTATTTAGCTGTAAGTGTGGGGGTGTAGGTACAAAGCCATTATTAACCTCCTTTATAAATGGGCATGTCAGGAACTTCGAAGGAAGCCCCAGAGTTTGGTCGCCAAATGCCAGTGTGTGTAAAATATTCACAGTGAATTCTTCTCCCTTTGGTAATTGTAATTCTACATCTATTTCTAGCCTTTCTCACCTTGGTTATACCACTCTGCAAAGGTCATATGGATATCCGAAATCAACTGCAAAGGAGTATTCTGAATCCCTGTTGATAAATAAATTATGTCCCAATTACTGGTGCTTTTCTGAAATGTTACTGAATGAAGAAAAAAAATCAAACTTCTGAGCTCA